TTCTGGATATATCATTTAGATAATCCATCATCACTCCATATGTTCTGTGTCCAAAGCCCCAGTTGCCCAAGGGAAGCCATCTTTATGTAACATTTGCCAGGCAGTCCCCTTTCCAAAGGGGTTCACACTTAATTTCCGTAAGTGAATTATTCTCCCAAATAAGAGAAATTGAGAATAAGTGAATTATTCAATAATTACTCACTTATTTCCATAAGTGAATTATTCTCCCAAATCAGAGAAATTGAGAATAATATAAATGAAATAAGACCTTATATATCTATGAGTCCTACTTCTGTGCTTTCCAGATAGGAGGATATAGAACATGCCCAGAGCCATGGTTAGAACTAGGTTCCTGGCTCCTCTCCAAGCTACAAAAATAAACAACAACAACAAAAGGAAAACTCAAGATACCTGGCCTTGGAAATCCAGGTCTAATATCATTTATGCTCAGTTCTCTCTCTGAATGACAAAGAGAACAGATCTCCAGGATTCGATTCAATGAGCTCACGCAGGGGAAAGCATTTACCATGGGGGACAGGCCCTGTCTGTGGGCTCCGGCCCTCCTGACACTCACCGTCCTAACAGCAGACCTCTCTTGCTTTTGTTTCTCGGACTCACCCTTCCTTCTCTTTCCACCCCGAGGCCCCAGCCGACGTGGGGAAGCAAGTCCTAACTGATCTCCCATCCTCATTCTCCAGCCCAAATCTACCCACACATGACACCCCTGCCCAAAACTCTTCACCCTACTCAAAAACCCACCACAGAGATGCTACTGCCCGTTGGCCCAGGAGTGAGTCCTCATCCTGTCATTCAGGGGCTAACGACCCAAATCAGTTTTCTTGGACATGTCTGAACATTTTCAAGCCTTAACCCCATTATTCCAGTGTACACTCTCTCTTCTCATCTGGAGAGGGGTTTTTTTTGCAGTTTTTGGCTGGGGCTGGGTTTGAACCCACCACCTGCGGCATATGGGGCCGGCACCCTACTCTTTTGAGCCACAGGCGCTGCCTCACATGGAGAGGTTTTTGAGCACACTGGTTCTCAGCAGGAGATTAAGTTATGCCAACTCTCCCCTACCTGGAAGTTTTCTGGCAAATTTGGGTCCACCTTCTTCTCAGAGCCAAGATGAATTACATCTGATCTTGTATCATTGTTTTGTAATTGTTTCACTCACAAACATGCAAATTCTGCTTCTCTTAACAGATTATAATTCATTCCTTCATTTTAATAAGTATACTTAATATCCCTTCCACAGTGTCTAAAATATATTGCAATAAAGTAAAAAAGGTAAAGAAATCGGAATAATCTCAACTCCTATAAAAACAAATTAGAGATTTTTTCCTACAATAGATTCACACGCATAATCATTTTCTCTGAAGCAACACCCTAAATATAGCAGAAATTTATAGGTTATTGAATAATACATGTATATACAGGAAAACAACATTGTTTCCATAAAATAACATCATACACACCTACCATATGTAGCATAATAAAGACAAATTTCAGTTGTCAAACTACAGGGTATCTCAAAGGTCGCCAGACATACATACTTAGGGAAAATGGGAAATTGTAGCTAAGTATATCTTTATTTACAAAAATTCATTATAAAATTTCACAAAATATTTATAAAGTATCTCTGTATGTGTTGACATATGAATATAAAATAAAAAATATAAAATAAAACACAGTAGAACCTCTATAGTTGACCACCTCCCTACATTGACCACCTCCTCAAGTTGACCTAATTTCCCTGGACCAGACACGCACCACATTTACATATCAGCACAGTAGGCCTAGTTCCTTATGTTGATCAACTCCGTATGTTAGTTGACTAGTTGGCACAGTCCCTTGGGTGGTCAACTTACAGAGGTTCTACTGTATAATTTCAGTTTATTTTTCTCATGTATGGTAACCTTTCAGTACACCTGGCATATCAGTGATTCTCTAATTTAAAAAAATCACAATACATTGTAAAATATCTTCTGAATTGAAGCATCTCTGTTTATAATTGTGGATACCACGCAGGTAATTTGCCAATTCAAGATTAAAGGTAAAATATTCTAAGGTTGCTTTTATCTAGTTCCAAGGGTGATGAGAAACAGTTCCTTATACCTGACTTTTCATCTTTTCATGATATTGATAGTTAGCTTTGTAGTTACTATTTTTAAGATAGCAACAGGATAAGCCACATCCTACCTGTTTGGTAGGACAAAATGTGCTCCCGGCCTCCTTCAGACAAAATCCTAAGGTTCTTCCTGCTTCTGTAAGTTTAGCTATCCTGTCAAATAACTGGACTCTGATGAGCCTGGCTCATAAAAAATGAAACAATAATAATAACAATAAGCCAAACAGACCGCATTTCCGAGTCCCCTGGCTGATTCCAGCGGAGCGGCAGTGATTATCAGGACGTGGTTTCCCACCATATTCTCACTTAATGTCACATCTCATATTGTATTTTGTAAAGTTGCTGGGAAAAAGAAAAAGAAAAAAGCCTCTATTTCCACCCTATCTAAACCTCTGTGTCAGTGTTTATGTAGAGAGAACTTGTAGCACTGGGATGTTTTCTTTTAAGGTATTTCTGTTCTACCAAGTTTTCGTAGCAAAAATCAAACATTACGATCCTCATGATAGTCAAGGTAAGACATACTCAGGGTCCTTTCAAGTAAGGGGGTTGGAAAATTGGATTAGGATCCTATATGCAACTCAACAAAAGCTAATAGGAAGTCTGCATTTTACCCATTGTTAGAAAACGTATCTTAAAAATCTCATTTTAATAGTAAGGCTGGAAGTTCAATTCACTAAGTTCTGTTTTCATTCTTATAATTCCTTAATCTATTAAGAAAGCCGTTCTGCCAGTTTCTTTCCTTTGAAATAACTCCAACTTTGCAGTGTCCAGATCTTCCGGAAGATATTTAGAGACTTAATTTCAGTGGTGCACAACACCAAAGCCAGGGCCGTTCCTGTAAAAAGTCCCTATGTCGGATCTCTCCTCTTGGGTATGACCACAGGTTCAATTTTTTCTATGATGACCGAATTAACAGTGTCTGATAAAGTGCGACAAATTGATAAAAAGTTTCTGGATGAAGATATTAACTGAAATTAAGGAAGACTAGTTTCAAATACAGTCTTCCTCAAGATTGACAGGTCTTCTCTCTGAGGCCACCACATTCATGGTATTAGAATTAAAGTTTCTAATAAATAAAAACACTGTACATACTTATTCTGACTTTAAAAAAGACAAAAAATTTAAGTCTGATTAATAAGACCCATATACCCAACATCATATGGGTAAACATTTTATTCATATGATTTAACGGCATTTTTTTCTAGTATATAAATCACACCATACTGCAAACTCAAAGTTCTGAGACCCAAATGAGGGTTGTGAAACATTTAGATACTTGGTTTGCCTCTAAAGTTCCGTTGAATGCCACCTGTTACACACAGTGTTTATTACTGAGAACTTTTCCTCCCCTCCTGTTTAGCCACCTACACATCCCAGTCTTCCAACATAGAAGCAAATGCTGTAAGTCTCAAATTGGCGCTGGTTTCCATAAGCCAGAGCGATGACATCAGCCTGAGTTCCAGCCCCTGGAATGCAGAACTGGGACCATACGGTGACTTGGGAACAGTTAGGTCCCAACATAATTCTTGTCACTGATTTGGAGCCAAGGCTTGTACTCCCAGTTAAAAACACAGGTATCATCAAATACCTGCCTGTCAAATGCCAGAGAGAGCCGGAAGGAGAAAGTGACTACATTTCTATGTTAAAATGCAGCAGATGTCACACTAGACAATTCGTCCCTACACAGGGTGTCCCTAAAGTCTGCATGCGCTGGCAAAGTTACAACCGTTTTAAACTGCTCACAGACCTTACGGGCACCGGTATCTGGTGTACAACAATGCGGATGGAATTCATTCCACTGAGCAGTAAACACAATAATGGTTAAAATGTCAATTTTATGTTATACATTTTATCACAATTAAAAGAAAACTCATGTGGGTGGCTTCTGAAGACTGCGCCCTTGTGTTTCAGAGGTCTTCTACAACTGTGTAATAAATTTCCAGGTCCAATACTAACTGGTTATAACTTTGTGACAGTGACCACCTCGCTCCCTCCTCAACAGGTTCTAAACTGCGCTCCTGGGGGCCTAAATAAACATGCCTTCCTCGGGAATTAGTAAGCCATACTTACCCGCAGAACTTTCTAGTTAAAAAAAAGTAACACAAAAGAAAACCTCAGAATACCATGGTAAGAGCAGGTGTTAGACAAGGACCATGTGGAAATATCACTCGCTTCCCTGCAGGGCGCCAGTGTGCGGGGGCTGGGAAGTGCAGAAATCCCCACCTCCCACCCCAGGTCTGGTCCTGACTCGCCTCTGTCTGACTGCCGCAAGGACACGCAGCAATTGCTGGTCAGAGCTGTGTACGCGCGCGCGTGGCTCAGGGTCTCATTGGTTGCTGGATCGAGCACTTCGTGGAGGGTAAAGCGCCGTTCTTAAGGTGCTGAGCGCCGTGCAAGTGCTGGCTGCCGCAGCAAGACACACCTTCCACGCCCCTGCCCCGTCCAGAGTGGACCCAGAAGGTGCAGGCAGAGCGTGTCCGAGGCTGTAGGTAGGGCGCTCTGGAAATCACCTGCCCCCCCACCCCCAACAACATCAGGCTACAGTTGCCATCGCCATTCAGCTCCTAACGCGCTCACAACAAACCTGTAACTCAGCACACGCACTAAAACACACCTGGGTGTCCTCTCCCCTCCGGATTAGAGTGCGGCCGCCTCGTGCGCTCCGCGTGTGAACCGCCAGTGCCTAACCCGCCCCCAGCGCTCGGAAGGCGCTCAGCCATGAAGGTGAGGGGCTCAACTCTGAAGCCGCGGCCAGGACAGCGCAGGAGGAAGGACTCTCCATGGCAGTCGCGCCCCCGCCCCCACCGTGCTGCCACTTCAGAAGTCCCATTTCACTCTCCCCCTGACTTCCCCACACCCTGGAACTACCTACCAGGAGTGGCGACCAGCAGACAGACAGCACACACATGATTCCCATAAGCTGAATCGCCGTCTCGGTCGTGATTCGGCCCCACTGGGCGCTGGACTGAGACGCTGTGGCCTTGGCCCGGCAGCGGGACATCAGGGCCTTAATGGTGGCCAGGTTACAGGCAAAGGTGACCGTCAGCGCCAAGAGCCCCAGGAAGGCAAAGGTGGAGGCGAAGAAAAGGTTGCCCCAGTCGTGCGGCGAGCCAGTCGCGTTACCCCCTGGGCCGGTGCTGATGAAGCACCACGTCCCAGGCCACTGGACGCTGTACTGGCCCACGCCCAGCACGGGCAGCAGGGCGAAGGCGAGCACCGCCAGCCACACGCCGAGCAGCACGGCGCGGGTGGCGCGCGCCTTCATGTGGCTGGCGTACCAGTGCGGCGCGCGGATGGCCAGCGCCCGCTCGACGGCCATGGCGCTGGCGATGAAGAGCGACGAGAGCCCGAACACGGTCATGGTCAGACCGAAGAAGGTGCAGAGCCGGCCCGACGGGTCGAGCTGCTCCCAGCGCTGCTTGGACAGGTACACGACGATGACCACGGGGCTGGTGAGCAGCTGGCCCACCAGGTCGGTGAGCGCCAGGCAGCCGATGCACAGCAGGAAGGATTTCTTGCGCTTGCTCTCGCGGCGCCGGTAGCTGCGCGACACCAGCAGCATGGCCAGCGCGTTGCCCACGAAGCCAGTGATGAGCATGGTGATGGGGAAGGCCACGGACACCGACCTGCAGTCCTCCGCCCGGCCCGCGGGGCGCGTGAGGTTGCCCCCCGCGTCGGCGGACGGCTCGGGCGCCAACATGCCCGGGGAGGAGTGGTTGAGGCGGATGCAGAAGGGGGCGACCCAGCCGTCGCCCCGCGGCCCCTTCATGTCGGCTTCGAAGTGAGGCGGGGGCGGCGCCCCGAGAGCCGCAGCGGGAGCCGGCGCAGGAGGCGCGAGGGGCCCCAGGCCAGGGCTGGGCTGCCTCCCATGGCGAGGGGCGAAGCCGCCGCCTCGCTCGGCTACTCGGGCCGCGGCCGCGGCGGCGCCAGGGCTGACGGAGACGGGAGGCCGCGCGGGCGGCTCCAGGGCGCGCCGAGGTGCGGCCCC